GCCGGGGGCGCGCGGTTTCGGGGAGCGGTTGGGGTTACGCGTTTAAGCAGGGAGGGTGCAGAGCTCCCAAACTTGGTAGATTTTGCCCTAAGAAAGCAATAAGGAGGGGGCGCCCCTGTATCCTCCATCCCTTCTTCCTGAGCACTTTACCCCCAGCTTTGCATTTTTGCGTCAGCAGCGCGGGGATGCTGCACCCAAAAGAAATGCATTCGTCCCTTAATGCAGCGTAAACCCCGTCAGGATTTTCCCATAACCTCACGCTGCCGGTGTCTAGACGAGATTGTAGAAATACTCGCTCTTCTTATTAAAAGTAACTTCTTTTTTTTTTTTTTTTTTAAAAAAAAAAAAAGCTTCTTATTAAAGAAAGTCTAGATTCTCTCCAACCCACTCGCACTTAATTAAAAAGCTCTTAGAAGCACTTTTAATGACACATTCTAGACTGGAGGATTGCGAGACGCCTCGCTGCGTGGGTGGTGCAGCGAGGGGGGGGGGGGGGATGGATTTTAAGCTTTTGCATCCCATTGGAAAGGGCGGAGGTGGTTGAACGCGCCCCAGCCTTGATGAGGCACGGGCTGCGAGTACAAACAGATGGGAGGTAAAAGGCTCCCGGCAGCCCGGCCGTGGATCTCTTCTCCCATCTTGGTTGCTGCAGTTGGTGTGTTTTAAGGCTGGGGAGTTGAAATAGTTTTCGTTGCTGGTGTGCAAAACCAGGCTGCAGGGCTTGCTGGATGTGTGATCCGTCGTGTGCGTGTCCCGCGGGCTGAGCGTGGTGGAGCAGCTTGGGCTTCCGCAGGATGCAAGGCAGTGTGGATGTGAGAGCAGGCGTATTTAATGTTTCTTCATAAATGCAACTTTTAATGAGCCCCAGGTAGGAACACCCTGAGCGTGAGTAAAGCCTCCCAGAAATTCCGGGTATTACAGTGGATTTGTGTGTAGCAAGCCTGGAGATAACAGCCTGTGGGAGCCCAGGTGGTGTTTGAGTTTGGAATTCATTATAAAAGCGCTGTAGGTCCTCTGAAGCCGGGTGGCGGAGGAGAGATGGACTCCTTCCCCGTGCTAATGTGGTGCTGCTGCTCTCCCAGATCCTGCCCGCGTGGTGAACATGCCCCCCGTCATCTATGTTCCCATCGGGATACACGGATACATCCGCTGCCCGGTCGAGGCAGAGCCCCCGGTCACGCTGGTCAAGTGGAACAAAGACGGACGTCCCCTGCGAATCGAGAAGGTAGCGCAGCCCCCAGGGAGGGACGGGGCGGGGGGCACGGAGAGGGTGGGACCCTCGCGTCCTCTGCACACGCCGCTGCGCATTACTGG